CTGCCACTTATGATGAATTTAATGTATTTTGCTGAATACAATAATTAATTTCATTAAAAATTTTTTTTTACAAATTTTGTATTCATTATTATTTTTTTTTTTTTTATTACTAATTTGTCCACCAGTACTAGGAGTGAGTAGTTTGTCTTCTTCGGATATAATGGTGCAGATATAATTCTTTCCCTGCAGGTGCATTCCACTCCAATTAAAGCAACTACAGTAAGAGCTTGTTATGTCAGGTTTGAAAGCTAAACTGCAGAGGAATTAGAAGTTCAAGTCCTTAAACACACAGCTCCCTGAAGCCAGGTTGAAAAGAGCGAATGAGGCTGGCGGTGATCCAGGCCTGAGAAAAAGGCCTTCGACATGTTCCAATAGTTTACAGAGCACGGCATAAAAGGATGTGTCAGTGAATATTTCACGGGCGAACACCTGTATCTCTGGAAACTATTTGGAGGAGAAATGGTAAATATGCTGGATAGTTTACATCAAAAATCCGATTTAGAACTGTATGGGGACTGAGGGCATACATTTAGAGTGCTATTTATTGGAGTGCCTTAGAATTGAAACCACGTGTTAGGACACTTTAAAGCTCAGTCGCTGTTCTTCAAAGGGAAGAAAGACAGAAATTACCCTTGCCTGTTCCACTCCACCATGCTGATAACTCATAAGAACACACATGAGTCCCATTTAGCACATGCTTGAAATCTATTATACGGTAAACAAAGTTTTTTTCCCTTTCTGTGCCCCTTCAGTCCTTGTTTCAAACACCTCTTGAAACCATTTTGACTGCAAATCCAGCTGTTAATTTCTATTTAGTCTGAGCTCTGATTATCACCTCTCAGTTCCCCTTCACCTCTCGATCTCGGGGTATTTGCTTTCATAGTGCTGCAGATTTTTTGCCCCATTTCTCTTGTTATTCTTCAGGTAATCCCTGGCTCAAAGGAGGAAGCCCCAGGGTCATCACCAATAACCACCTCAAGGCTGACACCATAAACCCCTCTGAAAAGCCCCAGACGCTTGTGGGAAAGAGGGCAGGTGGACTTAAATCCCAAAGAGAATGGTGTCTTGTGAGGGTCTATGGCAAGTCAAGTTTTTCCTTTTGTTCAGTTCTTGAATTTCAGGCCAAATGGACATTTTTTCCTGTTGCAAGAACGTGTTGGCAGATGTTGAAATCTGAAAGTTACAGCCAATTTTAAAAGTACCTGACGGTTCCCGATAAACATTTCAAAGCATACGGACAGAAGTTGGGAAGCAGCTTTTGATTTTACAATGTCCACATAGACACTGCAGCTCATTACGGTTGTCACTCCTCTCTGGAGTATTCAATCTCTTTCTGTACTACACAGAGTTCGGCTATTTACAAAACTGAAAAACTAATTTTACAACCTATCAACCTATAACCTCGGTTCTGAAAAGTAACAGTTTGTAACTGTCTTTGTGACAGCTTGTCTGTGGTGCAATGCTATGAAAAAATAATCACATGTATATCTTGGCTTATTCAAATTTATGTTAAAAACCAGTTTGATAAAAACTGAAGAACCATTCAAAAGTTTGTGATCGTTAAGATTTTATGTTTTTAAAAGAATTTCTTATGCTCACCCAGGTTGGATTTACAGTAAAAACAGTAATATTGTAAAATATTATTACAACTTAAAATATAACTGTTTACTGTGATGGCAAAGCTGAATTTTTATGTCTTCAGTGTCACACGTTCCTTCAGAAATCCTTCTAATATGCTAATTTGGTGCTTAAGAAACATTTCTTATCAATGTTGAAAAAGGTTGTGCTGCCTAATTTCTTTGTGGAGACTGATACATTTTTTCAGGATTCTTTGGCCCTGTTTGCACCTGGTATTAAGATGTGTTTTGGTCGATCGGATCACAAGTGGACGACGCTAAATACAGGTGCAAATGGGGTCTAAAACGTTTGAGCTCGTCCACTTTCGACCACTTCCAGAGGTAGTCGAAAACACATTAGACCGGATCGCGTTCATAGTGTAAACACTCATGTGGTCGAATGTGTCCAAGACTCCCTACTCTCCGCCTACTGACTTAATCCGTAAAAATTACGGGTAGCGTGCTGGCCTGACAGGATTTAAACTTTGTTGCCTAAAGACCTAAGTTTGGTTTGAAGACAAAAAATAGACCCTGAATAAATCAGGACAGAAGTGGATGAAAGTGGACAAAAGAGACAGATTAAAACACCAGGTGTAAACAGAAATGTGTCGATTTTGGAGATCCGATCGACCACAACACATCTTAATACAAGGTGTAAACAGAGCCTTTGATGAATAGAAAGTTCAGAAGAACATCATCAATTCGACAAAGTCTTTGCTGTCACTTTTGATCAATTTAATGCTTTCTCGTTAAATAAAAGTATTCATTTCTTTTAACGGTAGTATCTGTTATTCAGCTAATGTTGCTTATAGCTCACGCCAAACATTTTAAATGACATCCATGTTCTTGTTTACAACCTTGAGATGCCAAACTGTTTCTATGGTTATCACTACTTCAGCCATCTCAAATACAAGATGTAACACCTGTATTTTGTACACACACAGAACAATTTACTTTTCAATTATTCTCACTCCCAAAACGTATGTGTACGTGGCCTAGTAGCCTTAAAAAGCCTTGCGTATAAGCCAATAGTACAGATCACTTGGCTTTGAGAGGACCAGCTTCTCCTACCCAAACACTGTCCTTTCTAAAAGAGAAATGGCACAAGAAATTGGATCTTCATTAAAGGGCATAAGACAACCTGTTATGTTCAAAGTATGAAGCTAAAAGTGTGTCAGGTGTCTGGAGAACATCAGAGTCCATGAACCTGGCTTGCTATGTGCCAATTGACCTGAATAAACATCTGGTTAAACAGCATGAAATGCAAGTTAGTTTAGAGAGGGATAGTTTACACAAAAATTAGAATTACTCTAATGCCATTTCCAAACCTGTGGAACAAATGCAGAACACAAAAGGCCACTATTTTCTATTGTCTATTTTTAATGAAAGTGAGGACAGGGGCAGTCAAGCTCCTAAATTACCAAAAATAAAAATTAAGTACTATAAAGTGGTCCATACTGCATGACTCGTGCGCCACTAAAAAAGTCTTCTGAAGTCATATGATCGCTTTCTGTGAGAATGACAAAAATTTCTAATCCTTCAAGTCAATAATGGCTGAAAATTCAGTCTGTTTGTGATTCTTTTAGGGTGCTTTTCCTTCTTGAAGCTGAAAACTCCAGTACGGTGGCCAAGATAGCCCAACACGCTGCAACTGTACAAAACACATGCAAACAGAAAGAAAATACACCAGCAAATTAAGAAAACATCTTTGTGATTGTTTTCTGGGCGTTGAGCTCTCTCGGCCACCGTACTTCAGTTCCCATTCATTACAAACACATTACAAAGTTACTTTTGCATTCCACGGAAGATAGAAAAGTTATTAAGAGTTTGTAATGATGTAAGGGTTAATAAATAAAGACAGATTTTGGATTTCTCATCTGTTTTTATTAATAATGTCCAAACTCATCTTCTTTTAAAGCACCTTTATGATTTAGGGATTAGCTGAATGATTTCATGGATTAAGGATTTTTTTAAAGATCGACCTCAGCTTTATCAATAATATCATGTCTGACGGCTTGGTTTCAAATACTGGTGTACCGCAGGGATGTGTACTGTCTCCAATACTGTTCTCATTAATGAACTACAGTATGATGATGATAATCTTTCCCTCATAAAGTATGCTGATAGTATTTCATTGGTTTCCTATCAGAAGGAAATGAACAGCGCACTCATTCTTTGAGTATATCGATAGTCTTATCTGTTGGATTGATAGTTTTTTACATCCTAGGGTTATTTGATAGTTTTTATGGGGAAAAAACGGCAATTGCGATTTTTAAAGACCATACACACTCTTCACTTAGCTCTTGAAATACTCCCATCTAGGCACAGGCTCAAAATTCCTTTGGCCAGAAGAAATACGTATAAAAAAGCGTTTGTCCCAATGGCAGTGATTATTTCTGAGCACATCATTATCTGAAGTAATGGAAGAGAACGGCATTATACTCATTTTTAAAGTCAGTTTAATGTAATTTAAGTTGAATTGACTTAAAGATCCATGTTGAATGTACTTACAAATTTAAGGCAGCAACTTTATTTTTTGTGTACACCATTCCTTTAAAAACATCTTCAAAATAGAAGTATTAAACACTAAGTTGCACGGTCCTTGCAAAAAGTTAAAGTTTGCTTCACAAGAATGCTGATGTCAAAGGCTGTCTTTCATGGCTTCCATGTGTATACTGTACTGCACATATTATGTCTTGTAATGACTGGTTCTCATGAATCAGTAATGAGTGATGTAGGTAACTGAGATGGCTGCCTTACAACACAGAGGAAAAAATTATTTAAAAAAAAAAGAAGAAAAAAACAGTCAAGCGCTGACAGTTTGTGCAGACTTCCATGATATGAAAAATATGGAAGGTATGTCTGACCTGATGCTACAACCTCACCAGTGTATGACTGAGGTAATATGAGTCATGTGTGAGTAGAGGTTTTGTGCATGTGTGCTGCAGCTGAAAGCGCTGCCATGGCCCGTATCGCAATGGTAACCTGATGATCCTGAAGTTTAAAAGGAGGGAGACCCGTTAAGCCCCCCAAAGAAAGGACAAATGGGATTGTTGGTTACCCCTGAAGACTGTGAACTAAGCTAATCCTATAGGTATTGTCATAAACTCTCCAACATAAAATTACATGCATACACTTTGGCTTTTAAAATTGTGGACTTTTTCTGTATAAAGTACAGAGAAGAATAGTTTAGATAAAAACAAGATAAGATTATGCACAAGAATGTTAAATTAATCAGTCCAGGTCAGAGTTTAAATCTAGCTTAAAAGTGGACTAAGGTTAAACTAAAAATCAATAATTGTTTTGTTATTTTTATGGGCACAATTTATGGACACAACTTCACTTCTAAAGTATTATATGCATGCATGTGTCAAACTGTCCTACCTCTCTCCTCCTCTTCTTTACTCTCTATCGCTTCAGAAAGTTAATCAGATGATGCCTTGATTATATATTTATGTTTAAATATTCCAATATTAAAGCTCCAATGCTTAATCCTAAATTGTGGAAACAGAATGCTCTTGTCATCCAGTCCGAAGCAGCTCCAGTTGTTGAGAAATTGATTGCTGTGGTAGTTAGAGCCAGAAGTCCTCTGTCTTAGTTCCTCCTCTGTGGAAGGGGAATCCACAGGTCCTAAAACCTGACAGGTTTCAGCTTATAGTTTACTATGGAAAGAAAGTAATTTTCAATTCTTAAAGGGACGGTTCACCAAAAAAAATTTTATATTCTCTCATTATTTACTCACCCAGGTTGGTCAAAACCTGCATGATTGTCTTCTGAGGAAATGTTCTGTGTAAAGTCAAATCTGCTCTTTTCCATATAAGAAATTTGGTAATTTACACTGCAACACAAAAAAGAACAACAACAGAAGTAGTTAAACCAAATCTATTACAAGTCATCTAAATATGATATACCATGCAGTAGAGGAAAGGATTGAAATTCTGAATGTTATGAAAAAAAAAAGTTTTTAATGAATGATCCCTTGAAAAGCCATCTCTACTAGCCATTAAATGTGCAATGATCCTAATATTAGAGTAATATGAATGTTGAGTGCAACACAATATTCAAGGAGAAAAAAATAAAGGGGGTTTATCCATTTGCATTTGATTGGATTGTGAAAAGTGTTCATTAGATACTAGAAATTGAACAATAAAAAAATATTCAAGGTCTTGGTGATGGACAAGCAATGCATCATTATAGAATGGTGCAAACAAGTATCAATAATAAACATATGTTGATGATACTCAGACGATACTCAAGTTCGTTCGTTTCGTTGGCCAGAGGAGAACCACTGATACTGGTTTCTCTCAAGGTTTTTTTCTCCATTCTGTCACCTGATGGAGTTTGGGTTCCTTGCCACTGTCGCCTCTGGTTTTCTTAGTTGGGGAGACTTAATATTCAACAATATTATTGATCTGACTCTACTGACGCTGTTGTATGCTAAAATTTTTTGCAGAGCTGCTTTATATATGAAACAAACTAATTTAATAACAACGGAACTGAATCAACACTGAACTGACTTCAGCTGAACAACAGACGAAATGCATAATTTTCCAATTATCACTGTAAATCACTGATTTGAAACAACCGATATTGTATAAATCGCTATATAAATAAAGGTGACTTGGCTCATTCGCCGCTGGTTCCCTTGAGATTTTCATGAGTTTTTATAATGGGGTTTTTAAATTTATGAGTAAAATAAGGTCTGTGGTAAACATAACTTGGCAATAGTTTGATGTTTTGTTCTACAACATAAAGTACACATACACTCACACCCCCAAACGTTCTTATCTAGTTCCTTATTAGAAACATATATTTTTTTAAACCATAACAGCCCCTCATGTTTTCGATATTGGTGCGTGTCATTTATTTTGTAGAACAATTGGCAAGTATTGTCAACATATGTTTACCACAGACCTTATTTTACTCATCAATTGAAAAATCCATTATAAAACCCCATTGGAATTTCATAGCACAGAGCAGACAAATTAGCTAATAGCTAGTGACTAAGGTTTAAAACATCTATACTTAACCTGTCTCACTGTTTGAAGCGTAGAAATAAAAAATTTCCCAGCTGGACCTTTGAGTCTGCATATGGTTGAGTTAAATGTGACTCAACTAGTTGAAACCCTGTGATTTGTGTTTGTTGATGAAGGATCGTGAAGAGCGCATATGCTAACCTCTTAAAATAGCAAGCTGAAGAACAAAACAACACGAAGAGACAACAGCAATCACTGGAATTTCACACGTGACACCATCAGTCACAAATCTAGCGCCGTTGCCGTAGATAGACCGCATGGCAGACATCACCTGAACATCACTATTAGCAGTATAAAACAAAGAGAAACAGAACTGTTGTATAAATGCAACTCATACAACATTGCGTGACATGACACACAGATTCACAGATTCAGAGGTACTCGTACAGGATTTCCAAAGTCTTTGTTACATCCTGTAATTCCAAAAATGAAACATATTTATGTGAGGTTTCTTTAACAAATGCACATTAACCGAAACATTCCAATGCAAGTCAGTCCTTGTTAAGCTCTATGACATTTTCCAATGTCCAGATTCGTCAAGGCTCATTTGCACAGTGATGAAGCTGCCCAGCAACACATGTTTGTTTACATTTCGGGGCCAATCAAAGACTCATAAACATGTGTTTTTCCATCTGAAGACTGAATTGCAACACTCTCTAAAACACTGCATTTCAAGACAAAAGGAATGGAGATAGAAAATATTTTGTCAATTAAAATAAATCCATAAAATGCAACAACATATTTAACTATTATTCATCAGAAATAATAATGATGCTCGTCTTGGCACGCACCACTAATAAAAATAACTTCTGGATTGTACTGCAGATATCCAACTCAGTAACTCAATGTTCGAGCCGCACAGTCCATTTTTTTATAAGCCAAGCTCGGTTCGCGAATATCATGACATTGGAAGATGGAGGTCACTGTCAGCATACGGTTTGTGTTTGTCAAACAAATACATGACACATTCTCTCTGTTTTTCCTTCAGGGTGTTATACAAAGGTTTTGCCTTTCACTGGTGGAGACGGAGTGATAGATTCTCACAACCGTACAAAGTCGTATGAGGTGACGCATAATGATGTCAAAATCAAAGCCCATCACAATCTATAAAACTCCCTCAAAGGTTGATGATGTTGCTTGCTGCATGAAAAGGATTTAAGGGAGTATGTGATAAGAATTTGTCATGTTTGCAGACAGACAATCAAGTGAAAGTCTTCGGACCATGTGTAACTGTGTAAATGTAATTTTGAGGTTTGCAGCCCGTGACATTCCAAACTGTATTGTTTCTAGCTGATGTTGGCATGGGGGCAGGACACTTGTTTCTCTGCTGTTTTCAACAAAAAACAGCAGGGAAAAAGAAGCTATTGAGTGATCTGCATAGTTTTAATAAGCATGAAAACAGACAGTGGAACAAAAACTTGTGCTGACTAATATGACAAAACTGAAGTGAGTTTTATTTTTATTTTATCTAACGATATTACTCCTGAGCTGGTCTTTTAGATGAAATCGAATGCCGGGTACACACTGCACGATTTTCAAAGTCGCCAGATCGCTGTTCTTCTCATATGTAGTTGCTGTTGTGTGCACATTACACGACGGATCGGCGACAGGGGGTTACACATTACACAACATTTCAATAGGAAGAATCGCAGACAATGTTTCACAACCAAACACACGTGAGAATTGATACAGGAAATAACATAAGATCACGCATTAGACAAGAGTTTTCACGCAAGACTGGATTTCTTCTTGTTAAAATGATGCACGCAAAAAGCTTGTGATCCAAATTGCCTGCAGCAAAAATGAACGAAAAAGAAGAAGAAGAATATGAAGGAGAAAATGGTTGCTTGCTGATGTTCTGTTGCAGGTCTATGACTCCTCTCCTTGAACTTCATAAATATAAATATCTCACAGGCATTGGTGATGCATCAGCGCTTTTCTCAGATCTCATCTTTGATCAAACACACTACACGATTGACACTGAACAAGCACCGATTTGCCTCTGATTTCAGGCATTTGTTGGCGATTTCCACAAAATGAGTGAAAATCTGGGCTAAAATCGTGCAGTGTGCACCTGGCAATAACAGCTAATTCTGGACAAGAACCATCCATATAGGAATGACATGTAAAACAACAAACCAAAGTAGTACTAGAGCCCCAAAGCCAATGGACCAGCCCAAAAGCAAACCAAAACACACTCATGTAATTCATACCTGTAGCTTGTGACTTTAATTTTTTTCTGCAAAACATTTGAAAAAAGTGTTTTGGTATTTTTTTTGTCCACACAATGAAAGCCAATCCTACGGAGCGCCTAAAGGGACCTTTGCAAAAATAAAAAAATATACAGACTTTCGCGTGCTCATGAGAAACTTTCGCGTGCGCACGAAAAAACTATCGCGTGCTCACGCGTTACAATTTCCGGTTTGCGTTATAGTTTCATTACAACAAATGTGGGAATAGGGATGAGATGAGAGTGTGCTTGGAGCATGCCTCCAGAGATGTATCGTATTATAGGGAGATGAGAGGGTCTGTGTCTCTTATCATCGGAGAAAGCGTAACTGCTTACTTGGATCACACGAGGCACCTCAGCCTATTTGTAATGGCAGTGATGTCAGTGCACGCAGTTCAAAGTTTTATGACAGTCAGTTTCTTGTGGAATATTAGCGCGTTGGTCTTGTGAATAAATGTTCTATATTTGGTGTTATATCGCTAATAAAGGAACAGTAGGACTGCAATTGTTTGTCGACTGTGCTTTACTGTGGGGGAAAAAGCATGAACATTAGCTGCAAAGTATAGTCAGACCGCAAAAAAATAGATTTAAGATTACACTAAAAACTTAATTGTAATTTAATACATATTTAGTTCATCAAAAATGTTTTTATACCATCATTCATGACAAAGCGTTATATCATCATCACACAGCAGTTGACAACACTTCATGTTTTATTTTAATTAAACAACATACAAATAGTTATAATTAAATTCATGTTGTCTTTATTCATTAAAATGAATCATATTAGCATCATATGCATACATGCAGTTACAATTCAAGTCTTATCATAACTGGTAAAATCTGAAAGTCAAAGAAAGAAAACATCTGTAGGCCTATTTTATAGGCTACTTTCTTTAGACCACATCACTCAATATTACTAATACTATTGGTAATGTCGCAAATGGATCCTACCTGACATTCCCTTTTTTGCATTCTCTCATAAAATAACCTTTTTATTTTATCATAGTAAAATCTACATAGCCTATCATTCCCAACAAAAGTATTGTTCAGCGCAAAACATGTTGAAGATTAGTGGACAGGCAGTCGGTTCATTAAATAAGCTATTTCCTCACAAAAACGGTTCAGCGAAGCCTCTTCTCCATCTCCATTGATATCCATTAAAAAACAGGTTTTTCAAAAAGGTTGCAGGCTTGTCTTCTAGTGGCTTTTATGCATCCGATCCAACTGTATCCATACTCTCATCTCATCCATTTTCCCACATTTGTAGTAATGACACTATAACGCAAACCGGAAATTGTAACGCGTGAGCACTCGATAGTTTTCTCGTCTTTATATTTTTGCAAAGGTTCCTTTAGGGGCTCCTTACAATAAACTTTTAAAAATAAAGGTCCTTTATTGGCATTGATGGTTCCACAAATA